TTTGTGTGTAGTGGAAGCAGTGTGTATTTGTGTATAAGGGATGTATTGTGTGTTTCTGGTTGTGTGTAAGGGATGCATTGCGTGATTCTGTGTTTGTATGCATAAGGGATACAAGGTGTGTGTCTATATGTGTGTGCATTGAGCGTAAGAGATGCATTGTGTTTCTGTGTGTATGTAAGAAAAGCAGTGTGTGTAAGGGTTTGCATTGTGTGTTTCTGTGTATGTGTGCAAAGGATGCATTGTCTTTGTGTGTAAGGGAAGCATGTTGTGTTTATGTGTGTGTAGGGATGCATTGTGTGTTTCTGTGTATGTATAGGGATGCATTGTGTGTGTGTGCGCGTAGTGTGAAAGAGCTCCATGTCTTGCCCCCTGTCCTATAGAGCTGTCTCTTCTGTCCCTTAGCGCTCTCCCCTGCCCCTTAGTGGTCTCTCCTCTCCCCCACCCTCCCCTAGCGGTCTCTTCTCACACTCACCCACCCTCCCTGTGCTCTTCTCACCCCCCTCCTCCCTGTGTTCTTCTTACTCCCCCTTCTGCTTACCCCCCTTCTTCTTCTTACTTCCCCATTCCTCTTCTTCTTATCCCCCCTTCTTCTTCTTACCCTCCTCTTTTTCTTATCTCCCCTCCTTCTTCTTACTCCCCTCTTCTTCTTCTTCTGACTCCCCTCTTCTTATTCTTCCCCCCTCTTCTTCTTCTTCCCCCCTCTTCTTCTTCTTACTCTCCCTTCTTCTTCTTACTCCCTCTTCTTCTTACTCCCCCCTCTTCTTCTTCTTACTCTCCCTTCTTCTTCTTACTCTCCCTTCTTCTTCTTACTCCCCTCTTCTTCTTCTTCTTCTTCTTCTTCTTACTCCCCTCTTCTTTCTCCCCTCTTCTTCTTCTTCTTCTTCTTCCTCCTCTTACTCCCCTCTTCTTACTCCCCCTTCTTCTTCTTACTCCCCCCTCTTCTTACCTCCCCTCCTTCTTCTTACCCCCTTCTTCTTCTTTATCTTACCCCCCTCCTTCATCTTACCCCCCTCCTTCTTCTTACCCCCCTCCTTCTTTTTACTCTCCCCCCTCTCCGGTCCGCGGTGAGTGATAGGAAGGTGACACTTCCTGTCAGTCTGGCCGGTTACAGGAAACAGAAACTCCGTGCGGAACAGGAGTTTCTGTGTCCTGTACCTGGCCGGACTGACAGGAAATGCACACTAAGTGTGCACCTTCCTATCGCTCCGGCCGGTCACCGCGGACCGGAGAGGAGCTCGGCCACGCTACAGGGGAGGGGAGGTGAGAAGCTATGCTGCAGCCGCCAGAGGCTCTTAACAGAGCGCTCAGGCGGCTGCAGCATTAGGACCGGCCCTGCAGCGGCCGGTCTTAAAAGGATTTAGGGCGGCCTGGGGAGCAATTGCCTCCCTGCCCCCGGCCCAGCCCGCCCCTGGGGACTATTATAGAAAGAGATTAGATTTTTGGTGACAAAGTTGCTTCAAATGCTATATTTCTCACATACTGTTTATGTTGTGAAAGAACTGTAATATGTAAGCCAAACTCCGAACTTTTATTAAAAGAGACAAACCTTGCATAGTTCCCACACTCTGCTCCTGAACTTGCGCTCACTAAATCCATTAATCCCTTCTTGTTGCAGCAAGATCTAAAAGCCTTAATAATAAATCAATAAGCGTTTACTTATCCACACCTACTCGTAAAAAACTGTATAAAAAATAAAATAAAAGCACACTAAGAACACTTTGAAGCTCCTGTCTTCCTAAACATCAAACACCACCTTTTGATAGAATGGGAAAAAGTGAAGATAGTTATAGGGAGAGTTTGAGCAATTATATAACATAAGTAATACACGTCATAATGAAATGAAAGCAACTAAAGTCATTCGGCCATGAAAAGTCATAATGAATCTACCCTACAACCAAACAGATGGCACAGCACAGATTCTATACGCTTGGTAAGTAGATTCGATTGCTTTCTGAATTGAATTTCGTCCGAGGTGAATTCTTTACAAACTGAAACAAAACAAAAATGAATGGATTCAAAACAAATCAAAAGAAATAATTTTGTATCCATTCGTTTTATTAAGGATAGTAAATTAGGGACTAATCAACTGAAAGAGCAAAATTAAAGGAATACTAGTGTCATAATGTAATAATAGTGTTAGGAATACAAACGTGTTTCTCACACTATAGTGTATCGATGTTTATGTTCCCGGCACGCCTCCTCGTGGAAATTCAAGGTTTAAAACGTACGTTTTCTCCCTGGCTGCGCAGGTTGTGCCACACCTTTTGATGATCTCAGCCAATCCAATGCTATCCTCATAGAGATGCATTGAACCAATTGAAGAATGAGGAGAGATTATAAAAAAATTGCATATTTTGGACTATGGAAGAATAATGCCATCAAAGGGTTCGGGAGATAGTAGAACTACTGTAAGGGTTGCTTTAAAGAGACACTATAGTCACCAGAGCAACTGCAGCTTATTGTATTTGTTCTGGTGAGTAGAATCATTACCTTCAGGCTTTTTGCAGTAAACACTGTCTTGTCAGAGAAAATGCAATGTTTACATTACAGCCTAGGGACACCTCCACTGGCCACTCCTCAGATGGCTACTAGAAGCGCTTCCTGGGGTAGTGCTGCACAGTGTGCAACACTGACATTCACTGTCTCCACCCTCTGCATGGAGACACAGAACTTTCCTCATAGAGATGTGTTGATTCAATGCATATCTATGAGGAGATGCTGATTGACCAGGGCTGTGTTTGACTTGTGCTGGCTCTGCCTCCTTGACAGTCTCCACCAATCCAATGCTTTCCTATGGGAAAGCATTGTGATTGGCTTTGATCAAGACTTCTGATTATGTCAACCAAGCAGGCAGATCAGGGGCAGAGCCAGCAGCAGCAGACTGGACTAAATGTATGATTTACTATATTTGGTGTCAGGGGGGCTAGATGGTGTTTTAACACTATAGGAATACATGTTTGTGTTCCTGACCCTATAGTGTTCCTTTAAGCTTATGGCAGCACTGGGTTACACATATCCTGGTTTCCCTGATATTGCTGGAAGGTAAACGTGTGGACTGCTGCTGCTATTAATTCAGCACCCAAGAGAGAAGCTAGGAAGACAGAATTGTGGAGTTGCTCTCTCCTCAGGGCTAAATTAAAATGACAGCAACTGCAGTTAGCTGGTCCCAAGGAGCACTATACCCAGAGTCAGATTACCCATAAGGCGACCAAGGTAACCTGCTAAGGCCTGGGCTCACACAGGGGTGCAGTGGGCCTGGAGTTCTGGCTCTGATCACCCAAAAATCTCCATGCACAGCCCCTTGAAAAAAAATGACTCTGTGGTGGTCTGTGGTTCTGGCGCTCTGAGGGAGATCTAATGCAGGTATCGGGTTTCCCAGCCTGCGCTCTGATGTTCTCAATGAGTGCTGGGCCAGAAGGCCTCCTTCTGCTCTGGGAGCCCACTGGACCGCCAGGGAACCAACAGACCACCAGCGAAACAGACCACCAGCGACCCCACTGGACCACGAGGGAAAGCATTTTCCTGCCCAAGAGGTAAGCAGGATTGGCAAATGTTACATAAAAAAAGGTATTATAGTGTGAGGAGACTGTGTTCAACACAGCCCCCCTACATATTATCACTCCATCCACACACACTTAGCCTACATTGTTAGTCCCTCACTCACTCTGCCACAGTCATTCACCCACTAAGCCTTGTTACACTCACCACTCAATCATCCCTCAACCTGGTCACACTCACCACCCCTCACACATCCTGTCACACTCACGCCGCTCACCCAGTTACACAAATGCCCCTCACTCTGCCACAGTCACCCCCTACTCACCCTATTACACCCTGCCGGAGTATGCACCACTTTGTATACGTATTTTTACCCCATGGTCTCCACAGTTAGTCTGTAAGTGCGGGTAGTGGGGCTATGGGCAGTTACATTCTCATATCAACTACAGGCAACCATTAACTATGTGTGTCTGACATCATTCACTGTGAGCAGATTGAATGCACAGAAAGAATCTGGGATTTTCAATATACCCCACTGTTAAAGAAGCTGTGATTAACATATGCATGTTGAGAATCAATAAACCGCATAGGGAATTAAACTGTAATGCAGCTAATGCTTTGTAACGACATAAGGAGCCATGCTGTGTGTAAACAGTGTGACCCCATGTCGGGAATATATAACTCCGTCTAACATGAAGATTTAAAAGGAGGCAGAAGTACACGTGTGGAATATTCATCTTGAAAGGATTCATCACTTTTGGACAAGGCTGTATATGGCCGTATTGCTCTGTTAGTGGACCAGAACACTTGATTGGCCTGTATGTGGCTCCATATTAAAGTTTTCTTAGAATACATGTAGCTCCAGGTTACTGACCAAGTGCCTAATGTGTTTCTGTGTCCCCAAGCTAAGTGTGGTGACCTGGATGTGTGGGTGCTGTGTGTGTGTCAGGAAGTTACAGACGGGGTCCCCTGTTCATGGTCTCTGGTGACATTTGTTGTATATGGCACTAAGTTACAGGTGGGGTCCCCTGTTCGTGGTCTCTGTGACATTTGTAGTATATGACACTAAGTTACGGTTGTGTTCCCCTGTTCGTGGTCTCTGGTGACATTCCTAGTACATGACACCAAGATACAGGCGGGGTCCCCTGTTTCTGGCCTCTGGTGACATTTGTAGTATATGGCACTAAGTTACAGTTGGGGTCCCCTGTTCGTGGTCGGTGGTGACATTTGTAGTTTATGGCACTAAGTTATGGTTGGGGTCCCCTGTTCGTGGTCCCTGGTGACATTCGTAGTATATGGCACTAAGGTACAGGTGGCACAAATGACTAGTGGCATTCATTATGTGACTCTAGGTACCCGTGGGGTATACTCGGTGTGTGTCCCAGTTTACTGACGGACTATTCTCTGTATAGGACAGGCAGCGTGGCCCCAAGTGATCTATTCTGCCGTATGTCCAGGTTACATGTGGAATATCCTGCATACCTGATATACAATTCTCTTATGTGGCCCCAGGAGAAAGGTCCCTCTCAGCCCAGGACCCCATCACACACCATTCACCATGTGGAGTTCACTTACCTACACGAGCCGGCTCAGATGCTAAATGCAGGGTGGTAGGTTTCCCAGTTACAAAGCAAAGACAGGACCATTCCATAGTGGGCTCACTGTACAGGGGGAGACGGGTTACAAGAAATCACAGCACATGCATTAAATACTCCCTATTTTCAATGTCATTGCTGCCCATCACTAGTGAAATAATAAGGTTTGATTATTCTAATAAATATCTCCTTCTGTACAGCTTAGAGCTGAAGCTTTATTTTCCAGAGATTGCTTGAATCCCCACACATTTCATTCATGTTTTAACCAGATGGAGCATCCCATTCATAGATCTGCAGAGAGAAAATCACATTAACACATTCACTGCTGATGGGAATGAAGTACAATGAAAAATAGGGTTTATTTACAGTGAACTGTGCGGAATTAAAAAACAAACAAAAAAAAAACACACAACCAAAACCCACACATTACAGCTTTGTATCGGGACTGCACAAATGTTGCTCGGTTACAATTTCACCAAACGCTAATGTAATCCAGTAACAGATAGCTAAGGCTGGAGACCCCAACATAGATGGATGTATTTGGGTAAATACAAAGCTAATCCCTTTCAAACAGCGATCAGTGAAGAGATTTCTTCTAGACTATTACTAGTAACAAGATACAATTAACAAAAATGAAATGGATTTTTGATCAGCACAAAAACTAGACACAATTTACAGCATTTTATGGAGACAGATCAATAAAGTGACCAAATGCACCTTTTCTTTTCTAGGTGAAACTCTTAGTAAATAGCTTTGGTTTTGAGAATGCCAAGCCAGCTGCCCCCTTCATGACATGGGTTCTCTATCAGATCATGTGAGATGGGGACCGATGTGTGCCGACCATACGAACTGATGAACGCTCAGAGAAGGAACTATAAGCTCCTTCTCTGACGTATCCAACAATAGGTTTTACTTATAGCGTCAGTGAATTCTGCAAATCACTACTGTGATTACAGACAGCTTTGTGCGTATAAAGGATGACGGTCATTACATTTTATTTATTTTTATATTTTAATATGATCTTTATATAATATACAATCTCCTTATTTTTATTCATGTATACTGAATTTTTTTAAAGAAATCATTTTCCCAACTTTCCCACTCCCCCTTGACAGCCATCTTTATGCACCTTGGGTCTGACTGTCAGTTCTCAGCCAATACACACTATTATTTTGCAAATATCCATTGCTAAGATATTAAAAATTCCAATGACCGTTATCCATTAAGACAGGAAGCTCCTTGTGCTAAAACCTTTGCAATAGGCGGAAGATGTTAATGGTGGTCTTTAATCCCTTAAGGACATGACGGAAGTTTTTTCCGTCATGTTGGCCTTTCACAGGCAACTGCGGCGGCTGAAGCACCACAGTTTGCATAAAGGTATGTATGACCAGGGTACAATATAGCTAGCCCCCATCATACAGCTTGTTATTTTTCCCCCAAAGAAATGGAAAAAACAATATTTGTCCTCGATTCCCTCAAAGAGGCCCTGCAACAGCCAATCAGAAGCACATCAGGGCCTGTTGCGCACTCCAAAATAATTATCATTAGTACGGGACATCAAGCAAGGTGCCACAGCCTTATCAGCAGCATGTGTGCAGGTTACACAGCTGTGTGCATGCTCTTTTGCAATCTGTCAGGTTCCATGAATTACACACATTGTATGACGTCATTACCCATGACGCTGCCAATTCTATAAATAGGATGCCTACATCTGCTGACAATTCTTCGTGCAGGAAGTCATTGTCTTGGTGAATTGAACATTAATATATTTCCCCTGAAAGGCTCTGGAAATGCATACAAAACATGCAGTGTAAACAGCCTCGCGTCTCCACATGCAAATACGTCGATCAAAAAAGGATAATGACTTTTTATATATTTTTTTTTTCTACGAAACAATACGGCATTAAGAACCCACGTATTTGACATCACGTATGCCATCAACTTACAAAGCAGAGAAGCTGAGCAAGATTTAAGAAGAACAAATCAATATTTTAGGACATAATTTATAACATTGTGTTAGTGTTTTGTTTTTTTTTAAACCCATTCTATATTAAATTTTAAAGGAAAAAACAAACAAAAAACTGCTCATCAAATGGTATATTTTTTTTTTTTTTGTAAATGTGATTTTTATTTGCATATCGAGGCAGTCATACTTCTTTGGACTCGCAGGTCCGTTGCTTGGTAAGTGCAAAGAGTAAATCAGCAACGTTGTGAGGTTATATAACAGTGCGGGCTCGCAGGCCATCAAACGGTATTTAAAGGACCACTGTAGTGCCAGGAAAACAAACTCCCGCCGGGCTGAGGGGGGAGGAAGGGGGTTAATCCCTTACCTTTTTTCCAGCGCCGGGACACTCCTCCCTCTTCTGATGTCATCGGCTGAATGCGCATGCCTGGTAAGAGCCGCACGCGCATTCAGCCAGTCCATAGGAAAGCATTCTCAATGCTTTCCTATGGACGCTGGCATCGTCACTGTGAAAATCATGCTATGTTTACAACAGAAAGGGTTAATCCTAGATGGACCTGGTACCCAGACCACTTCATTAAGCTGAAGTGGTCTGGCTGCCTATAGTGGTCCTTTAACTTTTATGAAATTAGAAGTTTCCTGTGGCTTAAAAGGGGCAGTCTAAGCACCATAACCACTACATGTTGTAGTAGTTATGGTGTTAGCAGGAGGTAACTGGTTCTGAATTTAACAATTTTGAATCAGTTTGACCAAAACCAGTGATCCCTCAGGCATCTCTCTCAGACCTAGGCTTGCCTGTTGATAATTATTATAATTAGCAATATTAATTTCAGCAATACTGTATGGTACTGGTAGCCAAAGCATGGCAGTTGACCTTGGGCTAAAATCACACATGTATTCCATTCCAGAACCTTGACTTTTAAGGGGAAAAAAATAAATACAGATTCTTCTGCAAACACACACACTGTCATCACGATCACATTACAGTATCAATATCAAACCCTTCTGTTTCATCAAAGAATATAATTTCCCAGTTTTGTTCCATTGGGGATAAGGACAAAACCTGAACCACTGGAGTGGCTGGAGGACTGGACTGGGAAACACTAAAAGTGCAATATGACATTTTGTGTATGATCCGAAATGCACTGAAATCCTTCCGAGCAAGCCTTCCCAATATTGGCTGTATGCCTGTTGATTTGTAAGCAGATCAGGTCTGCTCGAAGCTGCAGTTTTGCCTTGTGAGCTTGTGCTAGAAATTTGCTGTATTTCAATGAAATGTATTTATAGGTTTACAATCCCTGGGAATTGGGAACACAGGCAAATATTCTAAACTTCAAACTTTTTTAAATCTGATTTTTAGGCATAAAAAGTGACATTGTCTACTTTCGTTATAGACAATTTTCACTTTAGTTTAAAGCCCGGTCACGGTGGAATACATAATTAAAAGGGCACTCTAAGAACCAACTCCAGTATAGCGCATTGCAGTGGTTATGGTGCCACAAGTCTATAGGCTTGGTCATCCAGTTTTGGTGTAGTTTAGAAGACAAAAAGGCCAAGGTTCTTCTCAGCATCCTCTTCAATCACACTGATCCTTTGGAAATGTAATGTCTGCATTATCAGTATGAATCAGTCCAACCGGACAGCACCATAATTACTGCAATGAGTAGTGGTTATGGTGCTGAGTGATACCATTTACTGTAACAATGTCAGGGTCCATGCAGTATCTCAATCTTTGGCAGATGGCACACTCAACCATTAACAGCAGCCAAGCATTGATCAGCTTTGCTCTACAACCAACTTCACCTTACTGGCGTAAACCAGGTAAGTTGCCAAATCTGTGCCAATACTTTCTAAAGTTACAGAAAAAACAAAAAACACACACAGCTTAGCAGATCCCAGAACGAGTAGGAGCAGTTTATATAAAACTTTATGAATAATGTTAAAAGACAAGTAAACTATGTGAATCTGTTGATTGTAAACGTACAATCTGATCCCAAGTTCTCAGATACACTGTACCCCTACATAGATAATTTAAACAGAACCAGCCAACTATATACCCATCACCTGACATCTATTCTTTGCACATTTATTTTCATCATTGTTTACTAAAATTTAATAAAACTAAGTTTTACTTTTGAAATCCAGGGGTAAGCCAATCATTTAATAAAACACGCAAACTGATAAGTAATAAAATGCACAAAACTGAAAATAAAATAAAAAAAATCTTTATTGCTTATTGGATATTGCTTTTACAAGTGGAAACAGGTCACTTAAAACGTATTCTAGAAATAACACTGTACATGAACAGAAATGTGTATTTGAACCATTAGTGTGAAAAATATATAGAAATAACAAAAAACACTAATACACCTTGTTCACCAAATTTTATATATAAAAAGCTACAATACAAATGAATTCAATGATAATCCTAACTGAGAAAAATCAATCTATAAATACATTGTAAATAAGGCTATTTTATGTAACATTTTTAGTGGGAACTCAAAATAATATTTTACATATATAATTTTTCATTGATACATAGTCTGTTAAAATGTCTACTTTTTGTCCCATTCAAGAAAAGAGTTATTCTTGTGACTCTTTGCCTGCCAATCGATAAACCTCTGTCGGTCCATCTACGTTGGTGATTGTGGTCGTTAATTGAAGTTCTTCTGCGCTTCCCATTCCTAAAAAAAAAAAATAATAATAAAAAAAAAATAATATATATATATTTTTTTAAACAAGTACATAGAAGGAAAAAAAAAACAAAAACAAAAACACAAATTTATACAAAAAGAAAAAAAAAAGTGCCAAAATCAAACGACGACATCATCATAAACAGATCATTTTTTTAAACAGAGAAAAAGGAACCGCAGTCAAATCCACTTAAAACCGGGTGCATCAAAGCAGGACAAGAAAATCCAAAACACATAATAACACAGGAAAAATCTTCAGGCACTCACAGAATTAAAGCCGCAGGCAGATTTATTGTATGAGGAACAATTTTTTCCTGTTTCATAAAAACAGATTTATTGTCATGGAAAAGCAAATAGCACTAATGAAAAGATATGGAGAACTAGTTGCTTAAACATTTGGTTACAATACAAACTCCTAACTCCGAACTCTCCTCACACACACTTTCCCCCCTCGACATTATAACCGGCAAATTCAGCAATTAAAGAGCTGAAAAATGGGTGAGTGTACCTGCCCAGCACACGATTAACCATATCCAGTGGTTTACCAATGAGGGGGGAGGAGAAAGTAATCCAACTGTATAGCAGTGTTGTGAGTGAGAGAGATGTGTGAACGGTTAACTCAAGGATTCCGTAATTGTCACACGTCTGTTAAATAGACGTGTTAAGTCAGCAGATATAGCAAGTGTGTGTGGACAGCTACATGTGATAGAGGAGTCACACTGGTCCACTGCATTGCCCAAGACCTCTTTGTGGTCATTACAGAAGAATGTGTTTTCTGCTGATAGAATCAGTAAAGTTTCCATAAATTTACTATAAAATGGAGCATTTGAGACATTCAGAGCAGAAACATTTACCACGGTGTAGTTGGTTTCCCTAATGAGTACTACCAAGATTAAATATTGGCCCACAGGGTCAGTGAATGGTTGCAGGTTTGGGAATAGCTACTCCATGAGAGTTGGACTGGAAAGAGGCTGTAACACAGTGGCCAATACACGGGTGTTGACGGGTGTCTGACGTATGTCTTAGAGGAAACCAGAAAAGTCTAGGGTGTATAATGTATTAAGAATAGTGATGTCCCGAACTGTTCGCGAACGGTTCGCCGCGGACTCATCATTGAGTAAACTTTGACCCTGTACCTCACAGTCAGCAGACACATTCCAGCCAATCAGCAGCAGACCCTCCCTCCCAGACCCTCCCACCACCTGGACAGGGTCAAAGTTTACTCCATGATGAGTCCGCGGCGAACCGTTCGGCGAACAGTTCGGGACATCACTAATTAAGAATTATTTTCCCCATTTAAAACGTGTGTATCCCGGCCTATGTTCCTAGAAACAAGGGTTTGTTAATTGGAAGCGGGTTGGTGTGTTGGACTGATATCCAGGGTCAATACAAAAGGTAATGGTGTAATGTGGTTGAAGATATTTAGAGAAAGGAGGTCCCACCCTATCTCAGCTGCTGGGAGGGATCCTTCCTATATTTCATAGAAGAGCCATGAGGAAGAAGGGCAGCCCAAGCAAATAAACTAGTCCTATATAGCAATATAAAAAAGAAACTATAATTAAAAAAAAAATAAAAAAAAAAACACACACACCTTAACAAAGAATAACCATTTAATCCGAAAAGGACCAATGCTAGGGGTCCTAATAATTTAAAGTTTGTGGCACCCGCCAAAACCCAGAAATTTAAGGGGAGATCAAGTTCTCGGATTTTGGCCTTAGCTGCTAGCAGGTAGGTATAGTCTTCGAAAGGTCTTCTTAAGAAGAGCAGGGAAGAGTATCATGAATTAGATTTTCTTCTCCAAGAGCCTTATTGCAAATGGTGTTTGTTGGTTACAGCGGTTAAGTAGTCCTGGACGATTAAGACTTTAGAGTCCTGGTGGTTTAGGGTTGTGGTGCTTGTAGAAGCCTTTAGAATGGCTTCCTTCTTAAGAAAGTTGGATAATCTGATGATTACTGGTTTAGGTCTATCACGATTATTGTGTAGATGTTTTGGGCAGATTCGGTACTCAAAACCGGCCTCATCTGCAAATTTAACTGTGCATCGACTTTTGATTTCAAGACAAGTGATCAATTTGAAATTAACTTCTTTGCCACTTGTTTTACCATGCATGTTGCACATCTGTTAGCTTACCCATATGGTGCTCGACAAGCCAACCACATTTTCAGATCTCTGAATGACTGGTTTAGCAAGCACTGATTTGCATGTTAACCCCTTAAGGACCACACTTCTGGAATAAAAGGGAATCATGACATGTCACACATGTCAAGAGTCCTTAAGGGGGTTAAACCAGTCTCCCTAACAAAGTCTTTCAAGGCATTTTCTAGAATTTCGGAATTCTAGAGTTTATAGGTTACTGAAGTTATGCTTGAGAACTTGACTTTAAAGGACCACTCTAGGCACCCAGACCACTTCAGCTTAATGAAGTGGTCTGGGTGCCTGGTCCAGCTAGGGTTAACGCATTTTTTTCATAAACATAGCAGTTTCAGAGAAACTGCTATGTTTATGAATGGGTTAAGCCTTCCCCTATTTCCTCTAGCGGCTGTCTCATTGACAGCCGCTAGAGGCGCTTGCGTGCTTCTCACTGTGAGAGCACGCCAGCGTCCATAGGAAAGCATTATGAATGCTTTCCTATGTGACCGGCTGAATGCGCGCGCAGCTCTTGCCGCGCGTGCGCATTCAGCCGACAGGGAGGAGAAGAGGAGGATCGGAGGTGGGGGCACCCTCAGGGCACTATAGTGCCAGGAAAACGAGTATAGTGGTCCTTTAAAAATAAACCCACAAACACATCAAGTGTACATAATTAAATTGTTACACTATAGAATATTGCCATTTACCTGGATTTGTGTAGTGCATACATTATTGGGCTACCTAGTAGAAGGGATATGGCCAATTTCAGCATTAGAGTGGTTTATTTGATTGTATAGGAATGTGATCGATGTCAGGTTTAGAACATGAATTCCATTTTTTTTTTTTTTAAGCGGTGACTGCAACAAGAGCTCCTCTGCCAGTATTGAAATGTTACACATTAGTTGCCTCCAAGTTTAGCTTCAATGTAAACTAACTGGATAATCTACCATGTTCCTCTATCCTCTCACAAAACAGTGGATTCTTTTCATATACTAAGTGACCATTAGCAGTCAGGAGACGATGGTCTTCCAGTGTGAGATCTAAAAGAAACATTACTAATAACTCACAGATTAATAATCATGCCCCCGTTTGTGCATATTCAGAACGGGGAAAGCAAAGCCTACAAAAAGAGTACGAAGTTATGGTAATTTTTTTTTTTTTTTTTTACTTGTAGCTGGTGTAAATAATTTGTCATTGGTTCTTATATGCGCGGTGACTGTTTTGTTCATAATTAATATTCCTTTATTAAAAGTTCTGCCTTTGTCTAGTAAAGACTCACAATACCACATTAGAGCAATTTATTAGTCATTTGAAGTCACGTAGATATTGTATCGGATCACATTTTGTGGGGTTTTTAGTGTAATTTGCTTGGGGGATAAAAGGCACTCCATTTATGGTCGTGGTGGTGTTCTAAAAGATTAACATTTATATTCATATAATTACGTGCGGGTGGTGTTACAACAAATGTTTATCATTATTTCTGGTCGAATGCAGATAAATTGTGAATTTTAACCCTTTCACCACCACTCCAAGTCCCACATACATTTGGAGTAGGGTGTGTTCGTGAAAATCCCCCAACCAAAAAAATAAAAAAGCAACCTCATTGTTAAACAAAGTCTCTGCTGATCTACGAATTAGACACATTCACCTAACTTTTTACAACAAAGATACACTACACACAAAATTAGTATTATCCTTATAAATAAAGCGGTTTCCGATTTTTAAAAAGAGGTGGAGAAGTTGCCTTGCACGGCCCATGCCCCCGCACATTATGGACAAATATTATTGTTTTGTTTTAAAAACCAAAAGGTCGATTTTAATCTATTTGACGTACGGCATTCAAGTCCTGTATGGATCCAGTGCACTTGTTATGTATTGTATGCATAGTGAGAGCACACCTATTTTTTTTTAATTAAACCATTTTATTTATTAAAAAAAATAAAAAAAATAAAAATTTGCTTTAATTTATTCTATTCAATAAAATTTATTTATTTGTTCATCCCTGGGATTTTCTTTCTATTGTATGTAATTGTCATGTTTCATTGGCTTTTGTGCATATGCTCATAGAAGAGTGGATGTCCTTTATGGGAGATTATTTATAGTAATTACTTTTGGCCATAGTCCTTTGGTTTGTATACAGTTTTGGTCATATTAAATTGCGTTGTTTTTGTTTACATTAGGTCAGCATTCATTTGTTTGTATAACTTGGTAAAACGTTTTGTATGTTGATTGATGTGACTTGTTTTGATATTTTATTTACAAATGTTTATTTTGCATTATTTTACTGCCTCATGACATACTTTTACATGGCTTTAATTATATTATACGTGTATGTTATATTCAAATCCTGTTGCGGTTTGTGATTTTGACTACTTCTCTCCATTGGCGTTTGTTTAGTAGCCATGGAGATCAGAACCATTTAAGCTGTACATCAAGGGTCTTCTTCCTTTGCCCTCAAGTAATCCATTGAACGACACATGTTGGTCTTTACTTCCTGTAGTCCTTCACTGTTGCTATTTATTCAGAACACAAGCAGTCCGTGCTACTTATGTAAATACTCGCTGGGTGACCAATAAACATACTCCTTGACTGCACCAGCACTTAATATCCCCATCAACTGAAAGCCATCCAAACTGCAACACCTGGTGGCCGAATTAGAATCACTGGAACTGTCTATTCTAGGACCAAGTGAGTCTGCTTCTATCAAAGCTAGCATTCTCTACCTAGCGTGTTCCTGTTGATACATAACTTGGACTTTGTCCTAGGAGGGAGTTTATTGTGCAACCTGTCACCCAGTGAACCCATTTCACTCCCTTTGAGGTATTAAGATGATGCCATAGTTTTGATATTTGCATTTTTTACTGGACCATCAGTTTTTGTTTTTTGTAAATTAGCATTAGTCAATTTTTTTTTTTTTTTAAATCAATCAATTTTATTGGCTTTTAACAAAAAAATAGAATTTATTTTCCATACACTGTATAGTGAATACATCATGTGTTATTACAACATTTAAAGATTTAATTTACTTTAATTGCTGCGGTTCTTACAAAAAAAAAAAAAAATTTGGCATAGGGTGTGTAAGATTTCTGTACCACTAAAGGGTAGCTGCATCAGCAGAGGATTGTTTTGAGCGGCTGTTTGGTGGATATAGCACAAGACTATTTAGGCTTTTTGTTTTATTACCAATAGCATAGTTACAATTATATCTAGTTATGCAAAAATGTACGTATAAAAACAGAGTAATGCTTTCTCCCTCAAGATATTGATATCTCGCTCCGGATATCAAGAGTTAACACTATATTTTGTGAACAAGCTTTTTAAGAGAATTTGGTTGTCCTTT